ACTGCTAACCAGAAGGTTGGTGGTTCAAACCCACCAGCCACTCCTCGGAAGGAAGGTTGGGCAATCCTACTTCCGTAGTGATACTGCCTCGGAAACCGCAGGAGGGGTCGCTATGAGTCGGGGCTGATTCGACGGCACATAACAACAACAATAACTATTTTTTTCCCTCTTTTTGGTTTGTAGTTGTCCTCATTTGTCAATTGATGACTCTGGTCCCCTGTTTACAATCTTGTAGGCTTCTTTACTTTGGATATTCTATAACTGGATTGGTTTCTGGGTAATGTCATCATCTGTGTTAATAGGCAGTCATCATTTGCTGCTGCTGATTCTCTGTGCAAAGGAATACCTTTAGCATCTCTTGTAAGGCTGGTCTGATTTAGCAAATACCCTTAATTTCAGCTTATCTAGAAATGTCCTAATTTCACCACCATATTTGAAGGACAATTTTGCTGGGTGTATAATTCTTGGTTGTAAATTTTTCTCTTTCAGGGTTCTAGATATATATCCCATTGTCTTCCTCCCCTGCATGGTTTCTGCTGAGAAATCTGAGCTTATCTTATTGGTTTCCCCTTGTAGGTAACTTTCAGTTTTTCCTGTGTTACTTTTAGGACTCTTTCTTTGACTTTGGTTTTGGTGAGTTTGATGATGATATATGTCTTGGTGATTTTCTTTTGGGATCTATCCTGTTTGGGGTTCACTGGATCACTTGACTGGATATATTCTCATCTTTCATCATACCAGGAAAATTCTCTTCCAACAAATCTTAGACAATTTTCTCTGTGGTTTTATTCATCACTTCCTGTTCTGGAATTCCGATTACACACAGGTTATTCCTTTTGATGGTATCCCACATGAACCTTATGCTTTGTTCATTTTGTTTTGATTTTTTTTTTCTGATTGTTCCCTTTCCAAGGAAGTATTAAGTATTTGCCTTCAATCTCATTTATTCTGTCTTCCATTGATTCAGTTCTGCTCCTTTGCCCGTTCAATGTCTTACCTATTTCTGAAAATCTAGTATTAATCTTCTGGATTTCTGTGTGTAGATTTTGTATCATTTATAATATTTCATTTATTTTGTCATTTTGTTCTTCTACTGTCTTTTGAAATTGTTCTAGGGTTTTCTCTGTGTTTTCCTTGATCTTTCTCTCAATTTGTTATACCTAAATATAATCCTTTTGAATTATAGATACCTAAATATAATTTATTTATATCTAGATACCTAAATATAATTCTTTTGAATTCCTTATCAGGGAGTTCCAATGTTGCTTCTTCATCAGGGATGTGTTTTGGGTCTGTATCCTGGTCCCTTGTTTCTCCTGCTTTATCTTGCTTCTTTGTGTGGACTATGATACTCTGTTGTCTCTGAAGCATTGTGATGTTTTTGTATTTATATTTAATTTGATCCCAAATTAAATCTTTATCTAGTCTACTAGTTTTCTTATTTTGATATACTCTCTTTATGTAAGTATTTGTGCTTTGGAAGGAAATTAAATGCACAATGGATATAATTAATATTAGTTCTAATCTTCTACAAAAAAGAAAAAATCACTGCCATCAAGTCATTTCTGACCCACAGTGACCCCCAAGGCTGTAGATCTCCCCGTCATCCTTCCGTGGAGCAGCTGGTGGGTTTGAACTGCTGACCTTCTGCTTAGTAGTCAAGTGCCTTATCCACTATGCCACCAGAGCTCCTTCTAATCTAATTACTTTCAATTTTATATCTTAAAAATAAAAACCAGGTTCTGCCCATGCCTGGCTTGAGGATTAATAGTTCTCAAGATTTTCAAAAAATTAATGTTAAACAGTGTGTGTGTGTTTGTGTCTGTGTGTAAAACCTTCAAAGTGGTTGGAGTGACTTGCCCATGATTTTTGTTTTCTTTGTTTTGTTTTTATGCTATCTACATAAGCAGGGTACTGTGCTGTGCTCCTCTATTTGCTAGTTGGCAGGACTTTTACACTTACCACCTATCTCCTTTCCCCTCTTTTTGGTTTTCAGTTGTCCTCATTTGCCAATTGATGTCTCTGGTTTGCTGGTTTACAAGCTTATAAGGTTATTTTACTTTGGACACATCCATAGCTGTGCTGGTTTCTGGGTTATGTCATCTTGTGCATGGTCAGTTGTTGTTTGCTATTATCAGTTCTCTGTTCAAAGGACTCCCTTTAGTATCTCTTGTAACATTGATCTGGTTTTTAAGAAATTCCCTCAATTTCTTCTTATCTGGAAATCTCTTAATGTCACCATCATATCTGAGGGACAGTTTTGCTGGGTACTTATTTCTTGGTTGGGAATTTTTCAGGGTTTTATATATACCATCCCATTGCCTTCTTGCTTGCATGGCTTCTGTTGAGAAATCAGAGCTTATTCTTATTGGTTGTCCTTTGTAAGTAACTTTTCATTTTTCCCATGCTTTCAGGATTCTTTGTCTTTGGTTTTGATGAGTTTGATGATAATATGTCTTGGTGATTTTCATTTGGGGGCTATCCTGTTTGGAGGAGCTCTGGTAGCGTAGTGCTTCCAGAAGGCTGGCGGTTCAAACCTACCAGCCACTCCTCAGAAGGAAGGTTGGGCAATCTACTTCCATAGTGATACTGCCTCGGAAACCCAAGGAGGGGTCGCTGTGAGTAGGGTCTGAATCGACGGCACATAACAACAACAACATTCTGTTTGGGGTTCACTGGACTTTCTGAATAGATATATTCTTATCTTTCATCAAATCAAAGAAGTTCTCTTTCAACAAATCTTGGACAATTTTCTCAGTGGTTTTCTTTTTTCTTCATGTTCTGGAATTCCAATTACACCTAGGTTATTCCTTTTGATAGTATCCCACATGAATCTTAGGCTTTCTTCATTTTGTTTAGATCTTTTTTTCTGAGTGATCCATTTCCAGAGATGTATTCAATCTCATTAATTGTCTTCCATTGATTCAACTCTAATCTTTGTCCTTTCAATGTGTTATCTATTTCTGAAAATCTAGTATTTATCTTCTAAATTTTTATCTGTAGATTTTGTATCATTTCTAAGTTTTCATTTATTTTTTCATTTTGTTCTTGTATTTTCTTCCAAAATTGTTCAAGGGTTTTATCTGTGTGGGAATCTATAGTCACTTATAAGCTAGAAAAGCATCAGCAATGTGATGTGAGGAAAGCTTGTTCCAGTCATAGTAGCTGTGTCCTGAATACGAACAATGCTCTGTTATTTTCAGTTTTCCAATATTCTCCCATAATTAATTTTTTTAAATAAAATCCAAGTTCAACAGATTAGTTTATGTTTCATAAACTCAGAGTAGAACATTGTGATGTAGCAATATTTGAAAGTTTAAAATAATATTTTTATGCAAGTACACTGACCTTTTTGACTTTGCTTATTTTATTTGATTCTTCATGAGGTTCAATGAGTTCCTTAACGCCTTCATATGAGCCATGTAAAACATCACGGCTTGCTTGTCCATTTTTCACACCTAAAACCCAAGTGAATTGATGATTAATTAGAACCTTATAAGAACTTACTGATAATTCAATTTAAGCAAAACAACAATGAAAAACTGTAATTATTTATATATAATGATAACACAACATATAGATCTTTCAAATAAATATTACATGTCCTTGCTCTTTGAGATCTATTTAGAGCTTTTAGTTTATTCTTCTCTAGCATCCTGAATAATTCATGTAACTCAATCTTCCGAAACAATTTTACCTGTTAGTTAAAATGTACTAGGCTCCATGATATTTTATTTGTCCTTTTGATAAAGCAATATACCTATACTTTCTTTGGGAGCTCTGGTAGCGTAGTGCCTAAGGCACTTGACTGCTAACCAGAAGTCTGGCGGTTCAAACCCACAAGCCACTCCTCAGAAGGAAGATGGGGAAATCTACTTCCGTAGTGATACTGCCTTGGAAACCCAAGGTTGGGTCGCTATGAGTCAGGTCCGACTTGATGACACATAACAACAACAACAACAACAACACACTTTCTTTACTATTCAAATTCCAATCAAAGCTTTTGTATATAATGACCCAAAACCATCTAAGAAAAAAACCAAACCAAACTCAGTGTGATTGAGTTGACTATGACTCATAGTGACCCTATAGGACAGAATAGAACTGCCCCATAGTGTTTGCAAGGCTTCATATTTTTACAGAAGCAGACTGCCTCATCTTTCTCCTGCATAGTGGCTGGTGGGTTTAAACCACTGACCTTTTGTTAGCAGCCAAATGCTTAACCACTGCGCTACCAAATCTCCGTTCTCTAAAAGGTAGTTATGTATTAGAGGAAGTAAGTAACTTTAGCTTCTGGATCAGTTTGAGGTTTTCTAGAGAATAGTTTTCAGTATAAAGCTTCAGGTTTCAATCCAGAAATGGTAGATGTTTAAGATTCTACCCCAATTAACCACCTTAGACCAGCTTCTCAATATGTAGACATACCAGCCAAAAAGAAGGTAATCACCAAGCTAAACATGAATTTATTAAATGCTGAACTATGTAGAGATTCTAAATAACCCACAATTAAGTGTGATATTTTTACTTTGGGTTGAGTCATCTACTGTCATGCCTTATATAGTGATTATTTTCTGTTTTTAAAACCCCAAAATAATTTGTCCACTTCATAACTTCATTGGTATTTTGAAGGAAGACTAGGCAAACTAGCCACCATTTATAACAGTCTTTATGGGGAAATGCCTACCTTGACACAGAGGCTATACAGCAGCCTGGGTAATATTTTAAAGTCCCAGCCACAATCAAGAGATTGATAATAAAAGCCAATCTGCTTTCCAACATCATTCCCTCATTAATTTATTTATGCAACAAATATTTAATAGTTAAATATTTAACGGGCTACCCAATGGAGAGTCAAAGATGAATGAGACATTGTCTTCACCCTTAAGGAGCTCACAATTTAACAGACAATGAAGACATAGATAAACATACAAGGCAAAAATAATTTAAGTGACATTAGAAATTAAAAATTATATGATGTGACTGCTTTTCAAATAAAAAATATATAATCCTATTTTTACACCACTTATGAACACATTCTACATTTGTTTGCTGACTGAATACTTGCCCCTCTCTGTATTTTCACCATTAAGCATGCACTACTTTTTTTTTTTACAGCAACTGTATTAAAAAAAAAAAAAAAAAGGTATCTGTTTCAGAAATTTAACTCTTCTTCCTAGTACAGGCTTCTAGCTAAGTGAGAAAAAAAAATGCAGAACAACTGTGAAATATTTTCTTGAATTCAAACTTACTGTTAATTGTAACCTGGGCCTTAAAAATGTTTTAAGGTCAGGTTCTGAACCATGAAACAAAACTCTTTGTATGTACAACAATACTGGATCCCTTTAAACAATCTGATTCTAGCCTACTATCTCATGAAAATTTTATACTTCACTCACACTTCTTTGCTACTCTAAGTACATTTCATTTGTATTTATATTTTACATTTTGCCCAGCACCACTCCATCCCTGGATGACTGTCCAATCTCAAAGGCCTCAACTAGCAAAACAAAGACCTTACTTAGGAGCCAGTGTGTCAGCAAGCCATGTAGAGGTATGTATTCTGCTATTCACATTTTGTTCTAAGATCTAGCAATACTAAGTTTCTCACTTTAATTCACTTTGAAGGTTTTACACACAGACACAAACACACACACACTGTTTAACATTAATTTTTTGAAAATCTTGAGAACTATTAATCCTCAAGCCAGGCATGGGCAGAACCTGGTTTTTATTTTTAAGATATAAAATTGAAAGTAATTAGATTAGAAGGAGCTCTGGTGGCATAGTGGATAAGGCACTTGACTACTAAGCAGAAGGTCAGCAGTTCAAACCCACCAGCTGCTCCACGGAAGGATGACAGGGAGATCTACAGCCTTGGGGGTCACTATGGGTCAGAAATGACTTGATGGCAGTGATTTTTTCTTTTTTGTAGAAGATTAGAACTAATATTAATTATATCCATTGTGCATTTAATTTCCTTCCAAAGCACAAATACTTACATAAAGAGAGTATATCAAAATAAGAAAACTAGTAGACTAGATAAAGATTTAATTTGGGATCCAATGCTCTCTTATTACTGAACCATGAATATGTTTTTAGCTTCCTTGTATATCTATGTAAAAGCAAAATAAAAAACAAAACTGTTAACAGTTAGTTGCTTCAATTCTTGCCAAGAACAATGAAACAGGTTGTATCTGGTATCTCCTCGTTTGGAGTTAAGAATAATGAAAAAAACCAAAGACATAAAAACAATTAGTCGAAGGGACTAGTAGACCATGCCAACCTCGGCCTACATGACCCCGAGACTAGAACTAGATGGTGCCTGGCTATCAGTATCAACCACTCGGAAAGGGATCAGTACAGGAGATCCTGGACAGAGTGGGAGAACAATGTGGAACAAGCTCAAAATCATATAAAAAAGACTAGGCAGGCTTACTGGTCTGATAGACTGGTGAAACCCCTGAGACTATGGGCCATAGTCATCCTTTGGGCTTGGAACTTAACTCACTTCCATGGCTTCCAACCAAACAATAGGTGTATAGGGTGAACATTTATACCAGGTTGGTATACTCCTTAGAAAAATCAACCATGGGAGATCGTGAAAAATGAATAATCAGCCTATCAGCCAAACAACCAATAGGCTGTATCACCATGTCAGCCTTCCTGTTAAAGGTATGCACTGAGCTGTTATGATTGGTTACCTCCAGGGAGTAGGACTGGGAGGTTCTGGGAAAGAGGGCTGAGGTGAAAACTCTTCTTAATAAATGCACATACTCTTTAAACTGTCACAAAGTACAGTAATTACAGTTCAATTTAAAATATTTAAGAAAAATACACATCACTTAAATTACAATCCAAATAAACTCATCTTGAACCATATTAAGGAGCTCTGATGGTATAGTGGTTAAGGTATTTGACTGCTAACCAAAAGGTCAGTGGTTCGAACCTACCAGCCCCTCCTCAGAAGAAAGATGGTGCAATCTGCTTCAGTAAAAATTTACAAACTTGGAAACCCAACAGGGAGGCATTGAGTCGGAATCAGCTCAATGGTGGTGAGTTTGATTTTTTTTGATCCATATTCTATAATCAGACACTGCAAATTAATCTTGTCACTTTTTCCTTCAAAGACAAGTTATGAAGCCCACACAGGCATCTTTGTTATTTTCATCCTAAGGGATTAATGCATGAAGACAAAGGACAGTGTGTCATGACTGTCTGTAATGCAGTTTAAAATACTTCAGCATAGACTACATGGTATTAAATATGTGTTTTAATTTGTCCCATCAAGAATAGACATTCTCCAAGTGGTCAGCTAACATGTAAACAGAAACATCACACTGTGGTTAACTTCTAAAATTCTTCAGACCAATATGAGACAATTTGCTAACTGGCCAAATGAGACAGAAATAAGCTGTACCTGATAGATTATCAGCTTGTTAATCAGTATAATGGATGACAGAAATTGTTTCTCGAGGGTAAAATTCATGGATTCAAGAAAACTGCATTAATGACTATAAGGACACCCCTACTAATGCATGAGTATAAAAATCTAGCATGAACTGTAGCTTATATCCCTAAGGATGATATTTAAAGCTTAATCCTTAAATGGTCGTCCTAGGGTCAAAGGATATCTAGCTACCTAATGCTGACAGTCAGTTTACAGAAAACTTTCCATTAGAATATTTTATTTCCTGTAAATCTTTCAGATAAAGTATGGACTAAAAGAACTGAGAACTAAGATTTTTGTATGAAGGTCTGTTTTGTGAACTACTTCCCATCTGCTGCCAATAAACATTGAATAATAAATATTTTTATATTTGAGACTTGCTTTCAATTAAATTTGGTATACAGAATCTGGAGCTCACAGAAGAGTACAGAATAGCCATCATCAACCTCTATAAATTGGTGACTATTATTTATGACAAAGAATCTAATAGTTGTGCATAGTGAAATTGTTAGATAAGTTCACAACACGTGTACAAGATACATGATACATGCTTGTGCTGATGTGTTAAATTTCAGCTTCCAAAGCAAAGCGGAAAATCTATATTAAATCATTGGAAAAGGGGGAGGGAGACTATGAAAAGGATTTGCTTCTGTCTTTGCTGGTGGCCAGCAGCTAGGGGCCAAGCTGTGTGCTACTTCAGGATGATAATAGGTTTTAAAACTTGGTAATTAAAATTGACTGCAGGTGGTTAACAGTGTCAAAGGTGGAAAAGAAATCGTATCAACAACTACATACATCAAGCTGCATGTATATATGTCCAATGCTGTCTAAAGTTAAAACAAGTGAAATATCCATTTGCAAGTAAATTTGCTGTGGACACATTTTCCGGGATCAAACTACAATTCTAAGAAGAAATTCTAGATCTTAATGAAGTGTAAAGGAAATTTCCTTTCCAAATTTCAAAATCCATTTAATGCCCCAATCAAGAAGCTTCCTCCTAACTTTCAATTGGAAGTTATTAACCTGCAATGTAATGACATGCTAAAAGGCAAGTATCAGAAGAAGACTCTAATATAATTCCATAAATATCCTTCAAAACAATGAAAAATTACTCAGTGAAAATCATATGCTGTGGACTGTCTTTATCAGTCTTTGGCAGTACCCATCTGTGTGAAAAGACATTTCTAAAGATAAAATGCATAAAAACTTATTATACATTAGCATCAACAGATAAAAATTTGCAATCAATTATGATGATGGGAACACTCAATTAAAACCTCAATGAAGTGAAATGTTATTCCTCCCTTCAAAAAAGAATTCTTTTAATTCTGCAAACGTATCCATGAATGTAGTAGAGCATACAGGAGACAAAGTTATGAAAATGTCTTAATCATAACCAAACACCTTGAGGGAATGAGAAGCTGTGTATAGAGGCTTAGGAGCACGGCCTTGGGGAACATCTAGGTCAACTGGCATAACATAGTCCACAAAGACAATGTTCTATATCCTACTTTGGTGAGTAGCGACTGGGGTATTAAAAGCTTATGAGCAGCCATGTGAGGTGCAACTATTGGTCTCTCCTCACCCAGAGCAAAGAAGAGCAAATAAAATCAAAGACACAGGAAATAATTAATATAAAAGACTAATGCACCACATGAATTGCAGCTTCCATGATCCTGAAACCAGAACTAGATGGTGTCTGACTACACTGCTTACTGCTCTGAAAGGGATCACAATAAGAGGTCCCAGATAGAGTTGGAACAAAACTCAAACTCATAAAAAGACGACCAGATTTACTAGTCTGATGAGGACTGGTGGTGCCCTCAAGATTATGGCCCTAAGACACTCTTCAAGCTAGGAACTGAACTGAACCTGCGTGAATCAACTGGAAGCCAAAAAAAAGGAGGAAAAAAAAATTAATTCTTCTCATTTAGTACATCTGTATTACATAAAATTGTAAGCAATTTTTATATTTTGAATTTCATCAATAAAAATGTTTTGAAAATTATTTTTTTCTTGTTAAATAAGTAGCTAAGGAAGTACTTTGAATCTCTTTTGTACCTTGTTCTTGCAAACTTTGTAGCATATTATATAGTTTAGATAACAAGAGCAACAAGTGAATTTAATACAGAAATTGATATCAAACTTTTACTTCAACATAAAAGATATAGAGAGGCATAGCTTAATGTACGGAATAGTTTTTAGTGCTCCACAATTGCAGCACATATGTAATTTCCAAATTAACCTGAAGGCTATGTGGTTTTATCTATGATAGAGTCCCAAACAGAGTTAGGATATCCAAGTTCCAGTTCAGCTTACTGTGGACAATTAAAAAGAACTCTTAAATTGTTTTTAAACAAGAGGGTCTTAATTTTATGACCAAAAACAAAGGGGTTAGATTTAAGCTAGGCAATATGTAAAATGTTTTCTTGTCCTAAATTCAGTAATGTTCTGTCTCTATGCAATGACATGAAATAGGGCACGTGACTCTAGAAGTTGTCATAATATTTGGGCAAATAAAATATTGGTTTCCTTTTGAAATTAAATTTAGTTATACAAGGATCCTACCTGTGTATCAATGTGCAATGGCAAATACAATAAAATCTTAAAATCTTCTCTAAGTTTTAGTGAGTCAGCCAGTACATGTGCCTCTTTTTTTCTGATTTATTCTAAGACCCAAAGGGGCTGTAGATACTGGGAGATTAAGTAGTAGAACAGGTAATTTACTTGCTGTTGTTGTTGTTATGTGCCATCGAGTCAGCCCCGACTCATAGCGACCCCTCCTTGGGCTTCGGAGGCAGTATCACTACGAAAGTAGGATTGCCCAACCTTCCTTCCGAGGAGTGCCAAGTAAATTTACACTTTTTCTTTGCAACACTGAAATTCCAGGTGTACCCTACTATTTGAAAACTACCTCTTTTGCGCTTCATTTCTATCTGTATCTTTAAATATTTTCCAAAAGCTTAAATCATACACATGATAAAAATTTAAAAGAATTTAAGCTTTTAAGAGTAAGATGTTCTTAACTATCAAAACAAGTCTATAAGTCTACTGCTTTATATTAACTTTACTGTAACTGTGATTTTAAATAAATATATTGAAAACATACTAAGCCAAACAGAAAATGAAATATAGTTTGTTGTCAAGTTAATATATGCTTGGAAAGCTAAAATACAAAAAGTAGGTTAAAAATAGATAAAAATACTTTCATTCTTTTTGTAAGACTGTTTTGGGGTGTTTATACTCAAGAAAAATATATACAGTAAATCTGTGATTTTTATCAACTCTTTTAACTCCTCCATCTTGAACAAGGTGGTTTAAACACTTAAGTATAGAAAAAAGATGAAAGGATAAGTTGGTCTTACTGAAATTTTAACCAAAACTTTAGGTAGAGAAGGCTAATATTTAAGATTTCTTCTATTTTTACTAGTGAAACCTATTTGAGCTTCTAATTATAAAGTGCATATTTTTGTTGTTGTTGCTGCTTTCACTACAATTACATAGTTCATCATCACTATGTTATTCATTACACAGTTCACTATTAGGTTTACAATTAAATTACAGATAAGAATAAATCTGTTTTAAATTATATGCTTAAGCTCTAGTACCGTAGTGCCTAAGGCACTTGATTGCTAACCAGAAGGATGGCCACTCCTCGGAAGGAAGGTCAGGCAATCTACTTCTGTAGTGATACCACTTCAGAAACCCAAGGAGGGATCACTATGAGTTGGGTCTGACGTGACAGCACATAACAACAACAATAAGCAAAATAAGCATAAGTTAAACAAAGTCTGTTACAATAGACTTCTTAGCAAAAAAATTTTAATTGCACAATTTTTCTTTATAGCTAATATTACCCAAAGTCTCTTCAGAAGTAAATATTGATAACGTATTTCCAAATTTACTTTTTTTCATACATCATCTTTCTTGACAGAATTAATGTTTTATGCTTTAATTCCCTTTCTAAAATAAACAACGTCATTATTATGAACCGAGATGACAAAAAAAAAAAAAAAATCTTCTGTAAGGCATTTAACTGCTAACCAGAAGGCTGGTGGCTCAAACCCCCAACCACTCCTCGGAAGGAAGACTGCGCAGCAATCTACTTTTGTAGAGATACTACTGCCTTAGAAACCCAAGGAGGGGTCGCTGTGAGTCAGAACTAACTTGATGGCAGTGAGTTGGGTTTAATTTTGGTATTACATAATAATCATGTAATTGTGAGAAACTATAAAGAACCAGAGACAAAGCATTCATTCTACTTAATTCAAACTAGGTATTAATCATTCTTTTGACCTATGAGAAGAAAAAAGCTTTGAAAAATGTACTGATAATAGCAGATTTGACCAATGAGCCCAGAAATTCTATAGTTGAATAAGTCATCTATCCCTAAAAACCTGTAAGGCTTTATCATTGGACAAATGTCATTAACAGAAAAAAAGGGGAAAAAAAAGTTTTAAGAAGAGGAAAGAATTTTAAGTTATGAAAAAATTGTGATAAATGTAAAGTATGGATATACTACTAGTACATATTCTTATAATAACAGTACTTTGAAAAGGAAGATTCACATACTTTCACTATATCCTCTGGAAAAGTTTCTCATTTCATTGGTCGGTTTTTCCACATTATAATTATCTACAAAATTTAGCTTATAATCATTTTTTGTTTCACTTTCAGAAGAGTCCAGTATTTCAGAAGTGGTACCTTCTTCTTTCTGCATGCTTTTAATGTCAATCAATTCTTTCATTTCATTGGTGTTTCCTTTCAAAGGACTTAAATTACTATGGTGTCCTCTCTCTAGATGCTCTTTTTGATGAACACATTCATCAATGTTATAAGAAGAGTTATTTTCTTCTGGAGAAAGCTCTTCCCTTTGCTGAGGATCAGCTTGATTACAACACCTTAGAGTTTCTTCAGCTGCAGATGTTTCCTTAGAAGACATGAAACTCAAAGTTGTATTTCCTTCATAATTTGTAGGTTTCTGAAGACTGGAGCTACTTTTTGCTGTTAGATCAGTGATGTCAGCTGATCTGGAATTTTTACCCATATAGGAAAAATCAGACATTTTTAATACACTTGCTCTCTCACTCTTAGAAAGACTTCTTCTGCAGTTGAAATGAATAGGGCTTGATGATGACTGAAATTCAGAAAGAAGATTCCTTAAATTCCTTTCCTTAAGATTATCAGGGGAAAAATAATCATCATATGAGGACTCTCCACAATCACAACTCTCTATAACAGATTTGGTCATGAACTGTGGCCTGTTTTCTGACTTACACAGTTGCAATTTTGGCATGGTAGATTTTATGCTGTATCTTTTTTTCTTTAATTTTTCTCTTGAAGGTGAATATAAGCATGGTGATGTTCTTTTTCTCTTTGCTGAGGAACTTTTGGGTCTTGAATGTACCAAAGAGTTGTCTTCTGTTATAGATAAAATAGGAAACATACTATATTTCTCACCAGATATGTCCTTAGGTATTTCTTCAGTATGCTTTTTGTCAGGGGTGACTGTTTCATCTACAACATTTCTTTGCCAATTTATTTTTTCCTTCGAAAGATTACTCATGGGTCTTTGAGGTGTTAATCTGTTGAAGTAGCTACAAGATGCTGATGAACGGCTACTACTTGGTGAGGATATACAAATATCACTTTTAATTTCATTAGTAAGTCCTCCGAACTTTATTTCTTGATTTCTACATCCTGACTTTCCACAAATATCATCAAAAGATGTGTGTAAAACACCAGCAAACGATTCATCTGGAAAATATTAATTAAAAATTAACATTTAAAAATAGATTCAATAATTTTATGTATATACATATATTTTAAAAATTATTATTTTTGCACTGTTTCCTCCCCTTGCTTGTTACCTCTGATAACCAACAAAGAAAGTTTCCTTAAGGAAAGGATGGTTAAGGAGGGTATCTGGGCTTCATTATTTGTGTGTGTGTGTGGAGGGGGAAGGGGGTCAATGGAGGACACAGTCAATGAATTCTAAAACTGCTTTGCAAAATTTTTTTTTTGGGGGGTGTTCATATACACATGTAGTCTTTTCCAAGTAAGAGCACCCAAAACTTGTCTCTCCTTGATGAAATTCTCAAGGAGGTCAATAATTCTACAAGTAAGATTTACTGGGTCTAGATCAAGTTCCAGTCTTCCAGGAAACATTCCACAATTAATGTAGCTCACCTTTATCTCCCATGTCTTCTATTAAAATCTTCATGTTATACTCAAAAGTGAACCATTCAGTAGTTAGATCTTCATGTTTTGTCTCCCCATATAACTTACACATTTCTTGAAAGACAGGCTAAAGCTACTACCTATTTCCTGAAAATTCTCTATTACATCTCATTTTACATTCCTATTACAATAGCATTTCTTCAACACCTTAGTCTGGGTAAATACACTTATCCTTTAAACTCATCTCAGATGTCAGCATCTCTCTGAGTCTTTCCACTGACTTCACCATGTGAAGTCCTCCTCTGGTACACAGTATGTTGCCTAAATTTATAAAACCATATAATCACAGTATACTGTGATTATACTTGTATCTGTCTCTATCACTAGACAGCTATCACTGCCTTTTCATCTAGGAATCTAAAGTCTCCAGTGCAGTGCTGGCACCCCAAATACAGGTTCAGTATAAAGGAATGACTTGAATTAATGAATGACCTCCACTTTATAGTAACTACACAATACTGTAGGCCACTTAAGTGTTCACTTGGCACTTCTGACATAAATTACTCAAGTTCTACTTTAAAAAACAAAGAACATAGGCAATCATCAAAATTCTTCCCTTAGTTGTATGCTCCAAGGAGAGAAATTTATCGTGCAAAAGTGACTCCATGCCTATTTCAAATCAGAGAATCTTTTGTGTTTTTAAATTAATAACTGTTAACATATAATAACTTTAACTTTATTAACTGAATAAGCTTTTCTAAAACCTGATAAGCAGTGTGACATGTTAACAATATAAATTCTGAAGTCAGAATGCCTAGGTTTGAATTCTGAGTTTGCCATTCATGAACTGTGGGATCTTGTACAAGTTGTTTAACATTCTTTGACCTCAGTTTTCTATCTGCAAAATGAGGATAATAATAGTGTCTACTTCAGAGGTTCATAGGAGAATTAAATGAGAATGTGATAAATAGAACAATGCTCAGAACATATTAAAATGTAATATATGTTAACTAGTATCATTACTAAGGGGCTCTGATGGTGCAGTGGTTAAAGTATTTGGTTGTTAATCAAGAGGCTAGCAGTTTGAATCCATCAGCTGCTCCATGGGACAAAGGTGAGTCAGTCTACTTCTGTAAAGATTTACAGCCTTGAAAACCCTATGAGGCAGCTCTACTCTGTCCTACAGGTTTGTTATGAGTCAGAATCGACTCATTGCCAGTGGGTTAGTATTATCCCTTCTTTCTAATTTATATGAAATAAATGTTATTAAGTATAAAAATAAAAAGACTTAGATTATTTTTAAGATAAATGGGTAAATAATTTTAAAACTAGAATGAAAAAACAAACCATGAATTGAAGGATATTTTAGTTTAGACTTCTAATTATCTTGGTACTGTTTTGTAATTTGCACTGACGTGGTTTTCACAATAAGATATTCCATAATATTTCCCCTGCTAATGAACAAAGATCTTTAGGGGGTCAATGCTACCTATTTAGGCCCCACTGTGGACTGGATGAGAAATTCATAAAAAGTTTGATACAACCAAGAAAAGTAATAACCAGGAAAAACTATCATTTAAAGTGAAAAAGGGTTGCCACATTACAAAAAATATATATAATGTATAATTCTACTTTTATTAATCATATCACTCCTTCTGCTTCCAATCAGAAATCTTCTCTCTTATATTTATTGGTAACTTTATATATTTTGCTTTATATCTTGAATAATGTTTCATATATCCATTATACATTATTTAAAACAATTTTTTCTTTGTTCTCTTTATTATACAGTTTAAACTGCATACAGATTGCTTCAAATAAAATAACAACAAAATTTTAAAAATAAGTTGATTCTGAGAAAGTCAAGTAAATGCCTACGAGAAAATCCACAGAAACCAAAAAGTTTAACTCATGTCATTACTCAATGCTTAATTTCAAGGGGGCATAATTCATGAGTTTTACTTTTTAACTAACTTTTGTGTTCATCCAAGTTGTCCATATGAAATTTTAAATAAAAGAACAATAATCTCAGAGTTTATATGTATCACAACAAAATAAATAATTTTTTTACCTGAACATGAAGTGTCATGTGAAATGTTCAAAGATGGTAGACATAGAGATTTAACTGGACTATCATGAGACTGCTCAATCATTTGGGAAGCTAAAACATAATAAAACATTTCATTAGATACAACTTTACTACTTTCTTAGTAGATAAAGTCAATAGGAAATAGTTCATTCTATTCTTATATATTATACACATATCAACTTCTTATACTTCATGTTCCAGACTAAATACAAAACAATAAACAGAAAGAATCTTACTGAAATCTATTACAGATGATGAAATTCATAAGAAAAATAATCTATGTAAGCCATACTATTTTTTCAAAAATGCATTAAATCACAGAATCATAAAAGTTAGAAAGGATCCTGAAAAGCCAACTTGCCTATCTCTGGGCAGGAGCTCAACAAATATTTTCACTTAATCTTACTATTTGATAATGATGGCTGCTTCTTCAAGGATGGTCTTAATAGTCACTTATTTAACTAGAGCAATGGCTCTCAATAAGGAGCAATTTTGGCCTTTACAGAACATTTGGCAATGTCTGGAGATATTTTTTATTTTCACAACTGTTGGGGGAAAGTAGGGGTTCCACTGACATGTAGTGGGTACAAGGCAAGAATGCTGGTAAACATTTTACAGGGCCTAAGGCATTTCTCCACAACAAAGAAGTATCCAGTTCAAAACGCTATTAGTGCCAAGTTTTGAGAAATCTTAAGAGGTGTCGTAGAAAACATTACAATATTACTGATTTTATGAATATGATCATAAATATTACCTTTAAAGGTTGTATATGCAACAGATAAGGAAAAAAAATGTTTTGCTTTCATACCCAAAGATACTTTTTAAAAGATTAAAAAAGATAGTTACCTAAGAAAACTTAAGCAAACACTTGTAAAAAGAGAACAGTCAAGATAAAGAAGGTGAGAATAAATCAAGATAAAGACGGTAAGCACAGAGATAAAATTGTCAGTAGTACTGAATATTAAACAGTTTTGGAGGCAAAAGAGTGGTAGAACTGACCCTGCAAAATAATGGAATCAATAAATTGTAAGGACGTTAATTTATGTACATACATAGGAATATACACACATACATGATGAAACAATTTGGAGATCTATTTGGAACACTGCCACTTACCTATTATAACTAGTTATCTATTCATAGTTTCCTCTTAATAACAGAACCCTGATTTTATTTAGTGCAGCAATATACCCTATTCAAATACCACATCTCACTCTTTCTTGCAACCAGGAGTGGTCATATGGCTAAGTCTTGGTCAATGAAATTAAGCAGGGCTTCTGGGAAAGCTGTTTCAAGGGAGATGAGTTAGCTGGAGACACATATATTTTTGAATGGAAGCCAAACACTAAAGTATACAAAGCAGAAAAACAGGCAATTATGTTCTTGAAGACACTACTGACCTGCCATACTAACCTGACTCCCTACCAGTCAAGGACTTCTTGGACATCACAGAAAAATGCAATTTTATCTAATTTGAAAAAAAAAAAAAAAAAAAAAAACTCACTCACATTGAGTCAGATCTGGCTCATAGCAACTCCTCCGTGGGTTTCTGAGACAGTATCTCTATGGAAGTAGATTGCCCAACCTTTTTTTCTGAGGAGTGGCTGGTGGGTTTGAACCACTAAGCTTTCTGGTTAGCAGTCAAATGCCTTAGGCATTACACCACGGTTATTTGCTGATTTTTCATATGCAGCCAAAACTAATCTTAACCAATATTAATGTCCATCCCACAACAAATACAAATTCAAGATAGATTAAATATCTGACCTTAAAAAATAAAGCATAAAATAGAAGAAAACAGAGCAAGTTCAAAGTCTCATAATAGAGAAATTCTTTCTAAGCATCACATGAATTTTAGATGTCATAAAGTAAAAGATACAATTATCTACATTAATGGGAAAATGTTTGGCAAAAGAATGTAAAAGTAAAATGATAAACAACAGATATCATCTATTTTACTGAACCATTCATTTACTGACTATCTACTATATAATAGATTCCATGCTCCACACTACAACTCTAAGGGAAAATTTTTGCAACATATATAGTAAGGCATCAGTGTGCAGGACAGACCAAAAGTTCTTACATATGAAAAAAAAAAAAAGATAAATGTAACAGGTAGATGAACAAAGAATAAATCATTCACAGAGCCAATAGTCAATAACACATTAAATATTATTGTGAATAATAATGTGCCCAATAACATATAAAACTAAATTCATCCTTGTTAATAATCAAAAGCTAATTAAAACAAAGAAATCCATTTTTTCAATCTTCCAATTGAAGAAGACTTAAAAACTAATATTTGCCAATTTTCCAAATATGGGGAAACTGGCATTCTTATTATAAACTATTGATAAAGTAAATTGCTCCAAACTGTTTGAAAGGCAATTTCAAAGTATCTATTAACATTTTTCAATTTTACCTTTATGAATTAATATTACCAAAGTGAACATGAACATCAAGATTTCTGTTAAAGCATGTCCACTGCACACAGTAGTAATAAAAAGTGGATGTGGCTGGGTACCTTACATCTACAGACAGAAAATGGAAAATAAAAAATAAGAACAACTATACTATGAAGTTAAAAAATAATAACTGAAGCACTGTTTCTAATAAAGAAAAATTGGAAAAAAAAAATCCATCAATAGACAGATGATTTAATAACCTGTAGTCAATCAACTGTAGACCACTTCGCAGCATCTTGGGAAAAAAAAACAAACAGCATAGAGCTAGAGGTAGGTCCAAACCTACAAACCTGAAAAACTTCAGAGAGACACTTAAATGGAAAAAAAAAAGTTGAAAATAATATGTATGCAATGATCCAATTTAGGTAAAAAAGATATTATATTTCCAAACAAAAAACAAATCCTTATCTTTTTAATGTACACAGGATATGTAATGTACTGAAAAACCAGATCAACTTAAAATATAGGCCACTCATGGGCAGATGAGCAGAATGAAGTGGGAATCAAGATAATGATTTATTATTAGCTATATTGCTGAATGTTTTATGAAAACACATTCACGTATTACTTGAATAATTAAAAAATTTAAAGATGAAAGATATGCTTTAAAAATCCTAACAAAAACATAATTTTCGGGGGGGGGATGGGACTTCTCTGCCAAGAAGTAATAGCTCAGTATTTGTTAGAATCAGAAATCAATAAACTTAGGTAAGGAAAAATACTTTCTAACTTGCTGCTATAATTTATTCCCTTGTTTATATAATTTTCACTTATTTAAACTGTAATCACTTACATGTAGGGGAAAGATTTTCCCTTTTTTCCTTCATCTCCTGTAATCTCTTCTCCATTGCACTGTGATGATAACTGTCAATTTTAATTGTGGGGTTGTACATCAATGAACCATTCGATTCAAATAAGAGAGCAGATACATCACTATCTGAAAGTAAACAAAAAGTCAATTTTAAGCAAAACAAAAAAAGAAGAGGATGCCTTAATACTTCAATAATATGATTCTGTTCAAAGTTGTTTCTTAGAAACCAAAACTGCCCTTTCCTTACCCCTGATAATTTTCTTACCTCTCAACACCATTATCTACTACTACCAATATTCTACATCTACCACCATAATAATCAGTAACACTGTCACTACAACTGTCAGCAACATTTACTGAGCAATTTACCACATTCCAGGCATTGTACTTTAGCACAAAACATGCATTATCTCATTTAACCTTTCCCTAAATCCAATGCAAGGAGCTCTGATGACACAGAGGTCAAAGCATTCAGCTGCTAACCAAAAATGTCAGTTTGAATTTACCAGGTACTCTATGGAAGAAACACAAGGCAATCTGTTTCCATAAAGATTACAGCCTTGGAAACCCTATGGGACAATTCTACTCTGTCCTATATATATAGTGACACTACGAGTTGAAATCAACTTGATGACAGTGAATTAAGTTTTTGGGTAAACTCAATGCATTAGGTTAAATTCTCATGTAAAGATGGGGAAAAAAATGAGAAAAGTAAGTAACTTCTGAAAAGAAGGATCACACAACAAGTAAGGTAAATCTAGAATGCAGGGTGGTCCCTAAATATGGTCCCTTAGAAGTTTTCACCAAACAGTTCAGAAACCACCACCACTACATGACCAGCCACTACACCCTCCACACAAATAGACCCAAACATGAACTGGACTGCATGAAGTGGGGTCAGAGTGGTCCTCGCATTATTAAAGAATGGGCCTACTTGTGGGTGGTGTAGATTTGTGCATTTTTCTGAAATGCATACCTTATATAATCTCAAAGAGGATTTTGCCTCCCCCATCTCAATTACAGAACGATCAAGAATTATTTAATACCTTCTCTTTGCAACTCTTAAAAACTAATCCAGTTGCTGCGAAGTCAATTCCAACTTGTAGCAACACCATGTGTGACAGAGAAGCACTGTGCTGAACAGGGTTTTCAATGACTGATTTTTCAAAAGTAGACTGCCAGGCCTTTCTTCTGAGGCACTTCTGCATGGACTTGAACCTTCATCTTTTTCGTTAGAGAATTACTATTTGTGCCACCCATGGACTCCATGCAACTCTTAGGCCTGAAAATTCCTACTGTATTTCTCACAGAATATTAGTTGAATCATTAATACATTATACTGGCAGTTTTTTAAAGGCAAATTCTATTAAGATACAAATTTGGTCAAAAAGAAATTTTTGTATCTAACATTACAAGTTTGTCAAATTCTGTTCAGAGATACTACCAATGATAGTAAGAAAAAAGGCCAGAGTGGAAAAAGCATATAGCTCAGTAAGAGAATTTTATGATAGTTTTTTGAGGTGAGAGAAGGAAACCAAATCATATAAGATCTACTAAATTATAGAACATGTTAAATACAGGATTTTCTCCTAAATACTTTGTCCTTCGGATGATATTGAAGAATTTTAAGCCCGAGGCAGGAGGTGTCCATTTAACTTCAGATTTACAGCTCTCTAAATAAAATATGGAAGATGGATTACAAGGACACAAGAATGAATGTGAACCAGCTGTTGCAATAGCACAGGCTTAGACTAAGAAAACAAGAGGAGAAAAATAGAAGGGTTCAAGCAATTATTTCAGAAGCAGGGTCTAAAGCTTTGATGGATAATTGGTATCAGGGTAGAAAGAGATGTCCAGGACAACTGCTAGCTTCTGGCTCAAGTAACTAGGCAAATCAGATAGTTAATGTAGATTTGTTAAGAAAGGACCAGAATGTCATCAAGACAACAAGAGGCATGATTCCTTAGTCAATGGGATGATGGAGCATGAAGATAAACAATAAAGGCAATGTCTTTGGAAATCATGTGGCAGCAAGCATTGTGAAGGCTAAATGCTCTACTCAATTCTGTATTCTCATCAGAGTTAAAATAAAACTTAATAATTCTATTTCAATAATTTAAAAAATATAGAACAGAGAATTTGCAACATAGTAATAGAGACTAAAACAAAGAAAAACCTAGAAGAATCAATTCCTTTCCTTACTATACTCTATCACTTCATGATTTATAAAAAATTGCTTATTTGTATCAATGGAATGTTGGAAAGTAAATTTAGAGCATATGAGAAGGGGGAAAAAGGAATATAAAAATCACAAAATTTCATAATGTTCTAAATTATTTTTAATCAGGAAAAAAAACTTATCTAACATTTGGGTATTGTAGATAACAAAACAAAGATCAAGTATCTAGTAAAAATAGTTATATAGTTATATATGAAACAAAAAAGGATTAAATAAGGTTTTATTAATAAAATATTATTTTATTCTGTAATTATTACTGAAAATAAAAGTTCCATCAATTTGCTGAATGATTTTAACACTTTGTGGTTGATTAGCTCAACTATATGGCCATGTTGTTGCTGTCATTCTTGTTGTTGTTAGGTGCCGTCGAGTCAGCTCCAACTCATAGTGACCCTATGTACAACAGAACGAAACACTGCCTGGTACTATGCCAGCCTCACAATTGTTGCTATTTGTGAGCCCATCCTTGTAGTCACTGTGTCAATCCATCTCCTTGAGGGCCTTCCCCTTCTTCGTTGACCCTCCACTTTACCAAGCATGATATCCTTTTCCAGGGAATGGTCCCTTCTGACAACATGACTAAAGTAGGTGAGACACAGACTGGCCATTCTTGCTTCTAAGGAGCATTCTGGCTGCACTTCTTCCAGGACAGACTTGTTCTTTCTATTGGCAGTCCATGGTACTTTCAATATTCTTCGTCAACACCACAACTAAAATGCATTAACTCTTCTTCAGTCTTCCTTATTCATTGTCCAGCTTTCACACACATATGAGGTGACTGAAAACACCATGGCTTGGGCTAGGCATACCTTAGTCTACAAAGAGACATCTTTGCTCTTCAGCACTTTAAAGATGTGTTTTGCAGCAGATTTTCCCAGGGCAATACATCATCTGATGTCTTGACTGCTGCTTACATTCATGCTGATTGTGGAACCAAATAACACAAAATTTTTGATAACTCAATCTTGTCTCCATTTATCATGATGCTGCTTATTGGTCCAACTGTGAGGATTTTCGTTTTCGTTATGTTGAGATGTAATCCACACTGTAGACTGTAGTCTTTAATCTCCATCAGTGAGTATTTCAAGTCATCTTCACTTTTAGCAATCAAAGCTGTGTCACCTGTATATTGCAGGTTGATAATGAGTCTTCTTTCAATCCTGATGCTACACTCTTCATATAATCCAGTTTCTCTGACTATATGCTTAGCATATAAATTGAATAAGTATGGTCAAAGGCTACAACCCTGATGCACTCCATTCTTGATTTCAAGCCATGCGATGTCCCCGTGTTCTGTTTGAACGACAACCTCCTGAGCTACGTACAGGTTCCTCATGAGCACAATTAAGTGTTCTGGAATTCCCATTCTTTTCAATGTTGCCCATAGTTTATTATGACCCACACAGTCAAATACTTTTGCATAGTCAATGAAATACAAGTCAACGCCTTTTTGGTATTCATTGCTTTCAGCCAAGATTCATCTGACATCACCAATGATATACGTTGTGCCATGACCTCTTCTGAATTCAGCTTGTATTTCTGAAGTTCTCTGCTGCACCCACTTTTGAATTATCTTCAGCAAGATGTTACTTGTGTGTGATGTTAATGATGTTGTTTGACAAATTCCACATTCTGTAGGATCACCTTTGTTTGGAACGGGTACAAATATGGATCTCTTTCAATCAGTTGGCCAGGTAGCTATCTTCCAAATTTCTTGGCATAGATGAGTGAGTGCATCCAGTGGGGCATCCGTTTGTTGAAACATCTCAATGGGTATTCCATCAATACATCTTTCTAAATAAAATATGGAAGATGGATTACAAGGACACAAGAATGAATGTGAACCAGCTGTTGCAATAGCACAGGCTTGGACTAAGAAAATAGAAGAGGAAAAAAATAGAAGGGTTTTGTGTGTGATGTTAATGATGCTGTTTGACAAATTCCACATTCTATAGGATCACCTTTTTTTGGAATGGGTACAAATATGGATCTCTTTCAATCAGTTGGCCAGGTAGCTATCTTCCAAATTTCTTGGCATAGATGAGTGAGTGAGTCCAGTGGAGCATCCATTTGTTGAAACATCTCAATGGGTATTCCATCAATTCCTGGAGCCTTGCTCTTGGCCAATTCCGTCAGTGAAGCTTTGACTTCTTCCTTCAATACTATTCATTCTTGATAACAAGCCATCTCATGAAATGGATGAACATCGACCAATTCTTTTTGGTACACTGATTGTGTATTCCCTCCATCTTCTTTTGATGTTTTCTGAATCATTCAATATTTTGCCCATACAATCTTTCAATATTGCAACTAGAGGCTTAAATATTTCTTCAGTTCTTTTAGCTTGAGAAATGCTGAGTGTGTTCTTCCCCTCTGATTTTCTAACTCCAGATCTTTGCACATTTCATTATAATAAGTGACTTTGTCTTCTTGAGCTGTTCTTTGAAATTTTCTGTTCAGCTCTTTTATCTTGTCATTTTTTTCCATTTGCTTCAGCTACTCTCCATTCAAGGGGGAGTTTCAGAGTCTCTTCTGAAATCCATTTCAGTCTTTTCTCCCTTACCTGTCTTTCTAATGACCTTTTGTTTCCTTCATGCATGATATTCTTGATGTCATCCCACAGTTCCTCTGGTTTTGGTAACTGATGTTCAGTGCATCAAATCTATTCTTTAGATGGTCTGCAAATTCAGGAGGGATATAATCAAGGTCATATTTTGGCTCTCATGGACTGGTTTTAATTGCATTCAGCTTCCACATGAACTTGCATATGTGTAGTTGATGGTCTGTTTCACAATCAGCTCCTGGCCTTGTTTTAGGTGAGGATACTGAGCTTCTCCATTGGCTCTTTACCCAGATGAAGTCAATCTGTGGATTTTATCCTATCAGTGACAGCATTGTATGCAAGATAGATCTTGAAACATTCTTTGTGATGATGACTGTCACTCCTGGCATAGTAGATCATGTGGTTGTCTGATTCAAAATGGCCAAAACCAGTACATTTCAGCTCACTAATGCCCAGGATATTGATCTTCATGTGTTCCATTTCATTTTTGACAACTTCCAAATTTCCTAGATTCAGACTTTGTACATTCAATGTTCTGATTTTTAATGGATGTTTGCAGCTGTTTCTTCTAATTTTGAGTCATGCCACATCAGCAAATAGAGGTCTTGCAAAAGTTTTATTCCAGCCACATCATTATGGTCAGCTCTACTCTGAGAAGGCTTCTCTTCTCCAATCATATTTTGAGTGCCTTCCAACCTGAGGGGCTCAGCTTCTGATACTATGTCAGACAATGTTTCAGGGCTATTCATAAAGTTTTCCAATAATATATCAGAAAGTGTTTCACCCCTAATCACAAGTTTTCACTGGCCAATTCATTGGGAAGTGGATGACCCCTTCCTTTTTCTGAATCGCTTTTAGTCTACAAATTCTACGATAACCTGTCCACCAAGAGTGAACCTGCTGATAATTGAAATACTGGTGGCATAGCCTCCAGCCTCACAGCAACACACAATCCACCAGAGTACAACAGACTGACAAAATGAGTAGTGGTATGGCCAAACTGTGGCTATAATCAAATCTCTTGTAGGGTAATTATATTTTATTTTCTACTTTCTAGTCAAAAGCTACGGTAATCTAAATTAGCTATCTCATCCTGTGTGCTAATGGTCATCAGGTAAACCAACTGAGATATACAAGCAGAATGCAAAGGAGAACATATATTTCTTGGCTTACCTAGAGTTGTTTTTTGCTTCTGTAGCTCTTTAGTCATTTTCTCAAATTTTCTTTGAAGCCTTTTATCATTTTCTGGTGTTTTGGGAATAAAATCTTTGGGCTGCATACACTTACGCTGTGCAAAAGAGATATGTAAATTAATACTATATTGGACAAGAAAAGAATTCTGTCACACCTGTTTGTGATATCTTTTATGTAATAAAAACCTCTTAAAGCCTTTCTTGCACTCTATGTATGTGACTTAGTAATATTTCTTCGCAATTGTTAAAAAAAAAAAAAAAAAGACAATTTTAAAGATGAGAAAGTGGGCTCTATGTTAAGTCATTATGTTTTCTGTGGTATTTTCAGGATCCTAGCATTATTAGTTTTCAGGAAATTTCTTAATTTTAAAACAAAACCAGTCTGTCTTTTCTTTCTTTTTATCTTTTGTTAACCTGACCTCGTTTCCCTTCCCCCAAAAAAGTACGATATTGCAATAAAACACAACAGCAATTATTAAAAAAAAAAAATCACTTATTTAATTTTACCTTATTGTCCCTACATCACAATAACTCTATCAGGCTAGGAAAGCCAAACTACATACACAAGGTGTGAGAAACCAGGAAACTTTAAATATATGAACCCACAGGCTGATACTCACAAAATAGTCTTTCTAAGAATTCCAATCTTACTGTCCTCAGATAAACAAGAAAAAATGTCACTTTTAAAACTATACCTTACATTCAAAACCTTAGTTTCTTGACTTCAGAAATACCCTTTATTCCCCACCTCCAGCCCAGTCATCACCAGAAGCACAAAAATTTAATTTGACAGTAGTTTTCCCTACCACTAATTCTACGCTTAAGCTTTTTATTAAATATTATTGTTGTTAGGTGCCACCAAGTTGTCTCCGACTCATACCAACCCTACGGACAGCAGAACAAAACAATGCCCAGTCCTGTGCCAGCATCATGATCCTTGCTATACCTAAGCCCATAGTTACAGCCACCATGTCAATCCATCTCATTAAGGGCCTTCCCCTTCTTCATTGACCCTCCACTTTACCAAGCATGATATCCTTCTCCAGGAAATCGTTTCTCCTGATAACATGACCAAAGTAGGTGAGACAAAGTCTGGCCATTCTCGCTTCCAAGGAGCATTCCAGCTGCACTTCTTCCAGGACACATCTGTTAGTCTTTTAGCAGTTCATGGTACTCTTAGCATTCTTCTCCAACACCACAACTCAAAACTATCAACTCTTCTTCGGTCTTCCTTATCCACTGTCCAGCTCTCACATGCGTAAGAGGTGAATGAAAATACCATGGCTTGGGTTAGGCACACCTCAGTCTTCAAGGAGATATCTTTGTTCTTCAGCACCTGAAAGAGGTCTGTTGCAGCAGATTTGCCCAATACAATACGTTGTCTGATGTCTTGAATGCTACTTCCATTGGTGTTAATGTTACAACCAAGTAATATGCATGAAGTCTTCAACAACTTCTATCTTTTCCTCATCCATCATGAAGATTAGTTGGACTAGTTGTGAGGATTTTTGTTTTCTTTATATTGAGATGTAATCCATATTGCAGACTTTAGTCTTTAATCTTCATCAGTAAGTGCTTCAAGTCCTTACTTTCAGCAAGCAAGGTTGTGTCATCAGCGTATCCCAGGTTGTTAATGAGTCTTCATCTAATCCCAATGCCACATTCTACATATAATCCAGCTTCTCGGATTATTTGCTCAGCATACAAATTGAGTAAGTATGGTGAAAGGATACAACCCTGATGCACTCTCTTCTTGATTTCAAACCATGCAGTGTCCCCTTGTCCTGTTCAAACGACAGCCTCCTGGTCTACGTGCAGGTTCCTCATGAGTACAGTCAAGTGTTCTGCAATTCCCATTCTTCTCAATGTTATCCATAATTTTTTATGATCCTCCCAATTGGATGGTTTTGCATACTCAATAAAACAAAAGTAAATATCTTTCTGGTATTCTGTGCTTTCAGCCAAGATCCATCTTACATCAGCTGTGATAACCCTCATTTCACATCCTCTTCTGAATCCAGCTTGCATTTCTGGAAGCTCCCTGTCAAAATACTGCTACAATAATTTTTTAATTATCTTCAGTAATATTTTACTTGAATGTGATATTAATGATATTGTTTGATAATTTCCCCATTCTGTGGGATCACCTTTCTTTGGAAGGGCTACAAATATGGATCTCTTCCAGTCAATCAGTTGGCCAGGTAGCTGTCTTCCAAATTTCTTGGCATAGTCAAGTCAGTACCTCCAGCGCAGTATTCATTTTTTGAAACATCTCAATGCGTATTCCGTCAATTCCTGGAGCCTTGTTCTTCACCAATTCTTTCAGTGCAGCCTCGACTTCTTCCTTCAGTACTACTGGTTCTTGATCATATTCCACCTCTCTTAAATGGCACAGGAAAAATAGAAATATTCTGTCTAGGTCACTTTTGGTTTTAGGTTAAAGCTACCAGCCCAAATTTATTTATATTCGTACCCAAATCTAATTACTTTTATTACAGTCTTAAAGATAGAACCTGTTGTAGTCATTTTAGAACTATATTTGTGTTTTTGATCCAGGATCTTGCTCAGTTTGTTATTTACTCATTTAACAAAAAAAGTGTTAATAATCAATGTGTCAGGCACTGGTCTAAATAAACATCAGTGAACAAAAATAAAATAAATCTTTGCCATCATACAGCTTATATTCTAGAGAGGAATGACAGCAAAGAAAAAGTATATATAGATAGATAGATAGGTAGATAGATACAGCTATATACTTCCCTTCCCTAAGTTATTTATTAAATAAATTACGTAGTATATGTTGTTCTGGGAGGGTTAATTCCAGCAGGCTTAGAATTGCCCTGAACTGTTTTGCTAAAATACCTACATAACACTGACCCCTACTCATGACATGAAATGTACTATTTAATAGTGTTAATTTCATGGGTCCAAGAACTTTTGGGACAGTTTGTACCAGCTTGTGAACTTTTAATAAACATTGTTTATTAGCACTGAGATTACTGATACTTGCCTGGAAGGCTCTGCCATTGAAGCTGGTAATATGGCAATATATCCCTACATGAGTAGCAGAGTGTATACAAAAAGCCCCTGATGAGAATTTTATGCTCCCTGATTCCAAGGCGTTCTGGGTACACATTTGTTGTATCTGATCTGTGAAAATGCACCTGAACAATTCATGTAAAAGGAGGAAAATTGGAACTTCCACACGGCCTATTTGGATCCCTGGCTAAAAGGCAGCCCTTGGCAGTGATGTATATTCCCAATGTTGTTCTTGCTATACTGCAACCTCTTCTTCTAATAAACTGCAGATTTGTAAGGAGTTTTATTTTGGACTCCTATGAATTTTCTTTAGCAACCAGGCCCAACTAACTGCCACCATTAGTGTGTATGGAAGAGAGGGAGAAATACTGTATTTTATAAATTAAAAAAATAAAGCACTTTACTGAGTTCAGGAGCTGGCCTAAGTGGGAAGGCAATGTTATTTTAAATGGGTAGACAGGGTAAGTCTTACTGAGAAAATATCATTTAAACAACGCTACAAAGTTAGAAAACTAACCACATAGATGGAAAAATGTTCCAGACAAGGGAACAGATAATGTAATGGTTCTAAGGTAAAAGAAACTAAGTCAGTACAGTATGGGTGGTGACCAAATGAGAGAAGGGGAGAGATGCAGAGTATCTCTCCACAGAACCCAAAATAATAGGGTCTAGAGTAATGTATATGTTGTAACTGCATTTGGAAAAGGAAAGGCAATGTTTTTTAGGCATGATTCTAAAATGGTAAGTTTATGAGAAGTTATTATTTATACTTCAGACTAGAAAATATTAAAAAGATTAATAATAATAATATTCAGCATTTGTGAGTGACAGGAAATAGGTACTCTTGTACACTATTGATGGTGTTGTTGTTATGTGCCCTCGAGTCAGACCAGATTCATAGCAACCCCTCCTTGGGTTTCCGAGGCAGTATCACTACGGAAGTAGGATTGCCCAACCTTCCTTCCGAGGAGTGGCTAGTGGGTTTGAATCGCCAGCCT